TCTTTCTAAAAATCTTTTATAGAATTCCTTAGCCTGGTCAGACAAATTATTTGCAGTCTCTCTTAGCAGTTCTGCAGCCTCTCTTGGCAGATCTACTCCATGTTGCTTCAATTCCTCTAAATAGTCTCGAATTCGTTCCAATGTTCTATCCGATATATCTTTTCCATGTTCGAATTCTGAAAAAAAGGGCACTCGCGGAAAAACTGCAAAAGTCTTACCTTCTATGATTTTCTCCAAAAGTTTATCGAATGCGGCTGAAATTTTTTTTCTTTTACTATTAGTTTGCACCATATTCTTTGAATTCCAAATAAAAAATCATGAAGATTGCTCACATTAAACATTTTTCAGATTTTTTAATGTTCTTCTCTAAAGAAATTCCCCTTCCAACTCGTTTTTCAATTCCGAATCAAGATGCTCATACAAACCTCGCAGTTGCTCTCTGTACTGACTCAAGAAACCTGGTCCTTCTTTCTCTACTTCCTCCGGTACTTCAACATTGGGATTGAGTAATTCTCCAGCAATTGCTTCGACATTCTCTTTTTCGCTATTTCCAACATCAAGTCCTTAACACATATTTTTTTGCGGGAAAGCTTTGAGAATCTCACCTTCATCGATTCGCTTCTTGACCCATTCTCCAAGCTTCGCTGAAAATAAAAGGCTTTTGTTTTAATTAGTACACTATTATTTGAATTCCACAAAAAAATCATGTAGATTGAAGAATATATTTTTTCCAAAACTCCTTACGATAGTTTTCTTCAAGCTCGTTCTTCAAATCCGAGTCAAGTTTGTTGAGCAGATTTTTCTGAAAATAAAAAAAGAAATCTTGGATTTTTCAGTTTTCGGCTATACAATTCCTCCAGTTAATCCATTGGTTAAATCAGAAATCTGAAAATGAATTCATAATTTTCAGCGTTATTTTCATAATCTTACCAATCCAGCTGCTCCGAATCCAACGAGCGAAAGGATGAGAAGAATTTGAATATTCATGTTGAGAATGATATTTTAGGCTTCCATGCCTCTCCTTTTATATTGATTCATTTTTAATAAATTCATGTTTACTGCTCGATTCACATCTCTATTGAGTCCATTCATTCTATTGTCACAAATTGGCACAGATCGTTTCAATTATTAAAAAAATCAGTATTTCTGCGTCTGAGTATCTCATAGCTCTGTGACGCCCACGTTTTAATGAAGTTGTGTAGGCTGACATTGGCTTCGAAGCCTATAGAATCCATTGTTCAAACTAACACAAATATTCAAAACACGATTTTATTGGGAAAATTTATTCGAAAGAAATCCAAAAAAAAAGATGCTTGACAACGATTGCGAAACTCAATATACCGTATAAAACCTCTAATAGAACGTAAATATAAAACCTCTAATAGAACGACACCCGGATCGTCCACTTTGAGTCTATATATCTCACTTCTTTTGAAAGATATCAAAAAGTGGTTAACTAGTAAAATGTTTATCAGGATATCAGCAACATTTTACTAGTTAGCCACTTTTTGATATCTTTCACAGGAAGTGAGATATATAGGCTCAAAGTGGACGATCCGGGTGTCGTTCTATTAGAGGTTTTATATTTACGTTCTATTAGAGGTTTTATACGGTATATTGAGTT